GTGTGTGTGTGTTTCTGAGGATTTTATATAGATGATGTGAATACTTAAAAGCCTTTAAGTACTAGGCATAAAGACTAGCTAGATCCCTTTGGTGTAGGAGTGGTTTTGGGTTGCAGGGGTCGGTTGTCCAGCACCATTCACATGCCTCCTTGTTGGCACCTCCCACTTGAAGTCCACCTCTGATGGTTTCCCTTGTGAACGGAGTGCATTACTCTCGGAGAGGCAGCTGGGAGTTGGATACTAATGGTTTTTACCTGACATCAGCACCTTGCCCATCGCTAGTCAATGATCATAATGTTTCATCAGTTGTTAGCCTCCCTTCTCAGAGACAATAGGAAGAAGTGCTTTTAAAGTAGAAGGATATCTCCTCATTTTAATTTTGTTCCAGGAGAAATCTGTATTTTGCACTTTCTGCTTTGCTCCATTCCTAGAATTATTGCAAGCCAAGGTATTTCTTCTCATATATAGCAAAAGGACCTTTTGAACTTAAATATTTGTAGATACTGATCTTAATCAGAGTTGGACAAAGAGTACCATGGAACTTGTCTTTCCCATAAAACTCAAAAGCTTTATTTATTACTAGAGTCCCTTTGCACGAAATTCGTGCAAAAGTAGGCCTTCACAGCCCTGGCTACCTCAGCCCTCACAGCCCTGGCTTTGTCCAGAAGCTTGTCCAGAAGGATGTCCGGACGGTCATTCCACTGTTCAGCTGTTTGGTTGATTTGCATATTATGCTTTTATTATTATAGATTATTAATCAGTACAATTTATCAAGAGCAATAGCTACTAGGTATCAGACACTGCATTAGATGCTGTGCACGTATTTTGAGAAACAATATAGCAGAATGTTCACCAGCAAGAGTAGTTCTCTGAATTGCTAAATTCAAATCCTGGCTCCATCTCCTACTAGCAGTGAAACCCTGCATAGTTACCTAATGTCTCTATCTCTAACATCTGTTTGGAGTATTAAATGAGTTTATCCAGTGCTTAGAAATAGCTCAACAAATGTTTTCTTAATTCTCCCAATAATGTACAAGGTAGGTATTTTTATCCCCACATTTTTTAAATCCTCACCCAAGGATATATATTTTTTTATTATTGATTTTAGAGAGAGAGGAAGGGGGGAGGGAAAAGAGAGAGAAACATTGATGTGAGAGAGAAACATCAGCTGCCTCCTGCATTCGACCCAACCAGGGATCAAACCCATAACCTAGGTATGTGTCCCGACTGGGAATCAAACCCACAACCTTTTGGGGTATGGGATGATGCTCTAACCAACTAAGTCACCCGACCAGGGAACCGCCTCCCCTCCCCCATTTTAAGATGAGGAAACTAAGACTCTGAAGTTAAAGAACATATAAAAGTCACAGATAGTGACTGGGTGGCCCTGGTTTTAAATTCAAGTCTTTCATACCTCAAGTCTCTTTCAAAACCTCCAAGCACAGAAGTTTAGTTTATTTTTCTGTTTTCTCAGTTTGTCTACTGGACTGTAAAAGAAAACCTGGTTTATGACATACTGCTGCGCACATCAATTTTTACTCACACCATTTATCTTATGTAAATACCTTCTGAAAATGAAGTCGCAGAACTCTGCCAAGGATGGAGGGGGTGTTATGGAAATTTAGTCCATGGAGTTAGAAAATTTCATGACTGCGTATTCAGGGAAAGATCTGAAATAACAGACCTTGACCACAAATGTGTGTGACTCGACTCTCCTGGGGAGGGAGATGCCAAGCTGGGTAGTGGCCAAAACCACCTAATATTTTTCCTGGCAATGGTCCTGCTTCTCCCAGGAGGGCTCGCTACCCTCTCTCTTGGGAGGAGATGCACTTGTTTTATGGCTTGGAAAGGCACTCAGGAAGGTATTACAACCATTGCCCGCTGAGTTGTGTGGTTTACCCAACTTTTCCAGTTTACAGGGTCAGTAGGTTTAAAGTATCACTGGTAGAACTCCAAGTCGACTGTTGGCATCATCAGGTAGCAGAAACTCCCATGGAAGACTGACACCCTCAAACACTGCTGCTCCCTCTTCAGTGCTGCCTCCACATGCTCACCTAGGGGCTTCACCATTCCTTTTCGGCCTTTTTAGTGCTTGTTGTTCCCGGAGTTCTTCCCGAGTCTTGGTTGTTCACTGAAGTCTTCATGTCCCCTTCCTCACCCAACCCCAGACCATCCCTTCCTCACCCATAACCCAACAAGCATTTCTGTGCTAAATCCTCAATTCAAATCTTTCTCTCATGCTCCTGGTGTTTATCTCTGACTCACTAGACATATCCACTTAGACATCCCATAGGTACTTCAAAGTCAATTAGTTGAAAACTGAGCTTATTATCCTCTTCCTCCTGTATCACCTCCCTCCTTCCCCACCAGATTTGCTTCTCCCAGTGTCTGTAATTTATTCTTCACATTACAACCAGAGAGAGCTCTCTAAAATGCAAATCCGCCTTCAACCTCCTATTGGAAATCCGTTATAGTCTGGGCTCTAAAGAAAAAGGTCCACGTTCTTCAACATGAGTTATAAGGCCTGTTGTGATAGACACCCCACCCCCAACTTCCCTTTCACTGTTTACTTCTCCCATTCCTCTTCCCCAGCCTTCACCACACACACTTTACCCTTTGACCCTTATAGGGTATCCCCCAACATTGCATACACACTGTAACAGCTGATAGCTCAATTTTCAAAATGAAAAGTATTTTAATAAACACTACCTTTATTATATTCCAAGGGTGTGTATACCGTTTTGGGGACACCCTATATTCCAGTGTGCTGTTGTCTTGGTCTCCAGGTCTTTGCTCAGGCTGCTCCATCTGAGCCCCCATGTCTACCGATATCTAGCCCCTTTCCCTCGGCTAATGCCTAGAATACATTAGAGCTTTCCATTTAGATCCCTTTCTTCGGGGATCTGCCTGATTCCCCATATTTATGCCAAATGGCTCTTCCAGGTGTTCCCATTACACCCTTTATGTGCCCACATATCTGCAAGCAGAGGTCCCCTTGCCAAGGTTACGAAAAACTTTGAGGTTAGAAATTATTCCTTGTTCTAGAGCAGTGATGGTGAACCTTTTGAGCTCAGCGTATCAGCATTTTGAAAAACCCTAACTTAACTCTGGTGCCGTTTCACATATAGAAATTTTTTGATATTTGCAACCATAGTAAAACAAAGACTTTTATATATTTAATGCCATTTAACAAAGAAAAATCAACCAAAAAAATGTTTGCATGTCACCTCTGACACGCCTGTCATAGGTTCGCCATCACTGTTATAGAGAATAGTGCAGTCTACGGCCATACCACCCTGAACGCGCCCGATCTCGTCTGATCTCGGAAGCTAAGCAGGTTTGGGCCTAGTTAGTACTTGGATGGGAGAATAGTGCAGAACATGAACAGTCAATTTTATTGTTATTGATTTTACTGTCTAATACCAGGCTCTACATTTAACATATCTAGAAGTTATACATGACTCAATTTTGTAGGAAACTAATTAGTGTTTTTGAAGTGCTTTTAAATATAGCACCTAGATTAAATCATGTTGGATGTCATTCATGGAAACTGTTGTATTCTATTTTTTTTGAATGAGTTAGCTCTTAGTTGCTCATAATTCTGATACATGTTGAGTAAAATGAATCAATATTACCTGCTACAAATATGGGGATTGATAGAAAACAAAAATCTCTGGGTCAGAAGTCGCAAACTGACAGCCCATGGACTGTATCTATCCACAGATATTCCCTCCTAGTTTAGGAACTATAATTATCCCTCGATACCCTCAGGGTGGGAAGGGAGGGTTGGATCCAGGACCACCCTCCTAGCCCCAAGCCCTGAGGTTACTAAAATTCAAGGATACTCAAGTCCCTTAAATACAATGGTGTAGTATTTGCATATAACCTATATTTGCATATGGACTACAATAGAGTATGCCTACACATTACTTTATTCTCATGGATTCAGCATAGTGATTGGTGCACGGAACATTCAAGTTTTGCTCTTTTGGAACATTTTGGGAGATTTCTTTTTTGGGGGGCTATTTTCCACTCATAGATCAGTTGAATCCACCAATGCAAAACCCATGGGCCAACTGTTGTTAATGCTTATAAAGGGAGCGGTTCCATATTGTCAGGGGCAAGCTCCTCAGCCAGGGACTTGACTCTTCTGGGTGTGGGAAACGGAAAGAACACACGGGTACAAGCAGGCAAATGGGACATGCTTCATTACAAACAAAGCAACCAACAACAGGCTGGTCAGTGGCAACTTATAGACAAGCTCAAAACAAGCACAAATAAAAGAAGCTTTGTGCCAAATGTAGAAAGGCACGCTTGCGCAGTGCATAGCTTGCCGGGTCCTTGCTTTTGCACCTAAGTATAGCAACTTAGCCTGGAACATCCTGACTAGGATTCCCACGCTCAGAGAGGCCTGGTGCCTCTAGACCAGTGGTTCTCAGCCTTGGCTGCACATTAGAATCACCGGGCAATCTTTTTAAAATCCTGATTTCTGGGTCTCATCCTCCGGAAATTCTATTTCTTTGTTACTAATGTTGTGGCCTCACCCCATAACAAAGAAACAGAATTTCCAGAGGATGGGGCCCAGAAATCAGGATTTTAAAAAGATTCCCAGGTGATTCTAATGTGCAGCCAAGGCTGAGAACCACTGGTCTAGACAGGGCGCCCATGTCGATAAAACCCAGATTTCTGATTTCTCTTGAAAAGTGAAATCTGGGGCAGTAATAGATTATATATAGGCTAATAATGACAAGGAACTGCATAGTGGCTATTCTTTTTAGACAGGGCGAGTGGTCTCCAATTTGCCACAGTTCTTGCCATTCTTTAATGTATTACACTTGCCCTACCTCACTCAGTTACATTATGTAGATTGCTCTTTTTTATTTGTAAGTAAATAAAAATGCATGTATGTAAAAAATTCATTAATTTTTTAATTAATAAATTAATGAAAACCTCAGAAAGCTTCTTTGCTTTATTGGATTTTTTAATACAGTCATCTCCTTTAAAAAGGTGGTAAGAAATACAGAGACAGAGGAAGCAATGAACATCTCAGATATTAACTTTCTTCTTCTCAGCTTTTACCAGCAAACCACTCCATTGGCTGGTGAAAAAGAAGACTGGAAAGTTTCACACTTCCTGGAAATCAACTATCTTACGGTGTAATTTCTTTAGGTCTTTCTGTACTTTATGTATCTCTAAATCCATCTTTGTTTTCTGTATTTGTTGGAGGGAGGTGAGAGAGTCATGAATTGATTTAAAACCTGAAAGAAGATATGAGTATACTTGAACAATGCATTGGAACGTTTGTTTTTTTACAAAAGTTGTTAAACAGCAATCCATAAATGATCATCTTTTAATTCAAAGCACATTACATTTTATTAAGACCAGTCTAAAAATGTGTAACCGTTTCTTGTATGTCATGAAGATGCATTAGCAAAAGTGTTTCAACTTGTATCTGCTTCATTGTGGAATTTTAATTCAATTCCTTTCTTTTCTTCCCCCCAAATATATTGCAGAATGAAATGATTCTATATTTCAAGAGAGAAATTTAAAATAGCTTTTTTTCTGTACACTTTGACAAGAGATTTGGATGATCTCTCTTTTTTTATTCTTGTTACCAAATTGAAGGTAAAGACTTTTGAAATCTCAGATGAGATTTTAAACTTTCTCTAACATCAACTTGTTTGAGGGACCTAAAGAGTGGCCACCAGCCGCTGCACACTCCCCTCCCCCAGCACTTTGTAGCTCTCATTAAAGTCTAATTTTTCATGGTCATTACCTACCAGATATCAAGCTTCTTGGGTATAGCCCATTTCTTATTCACCGGAGCCTTTCACATAATCATTTCTCAACACATTTTTATTAAAGGCATAAAGGAGCAAACCATTAATTCAGAGTCCCTGTTTTCTAAACTCCCACTTAATAACATGCAGAGATTGCAAACCCCTCTTGAGCTCATGCTGTGGTTGAACTACTGGAATGAATAAAATTAAACCTCTGGTAGTGAAGGAGGAAGCAGGGCCCTAAAGAAGGGTCAGGTGGGTTTGGGACATGATTTCTGGCCAGATAATTCATTATTCTGATTTGGCAGTGGGAGTTGGGGGTAGAGGTGGTGAGGGTCAGATTTCCAGGCAAAGAATTTCACTTATGTGCCAGCCACATCTGGCAGAATGAGACCATGATGGTTTTCTACGATACCTTCAAGGCACCTCTATACAGGATCAAAATTAGGTAGACTTGACATACACTTTTCTGAGATCTAGAGGGCAGAAAATGAGTGGGGCTTTCTCTAATGAAAGGAAACTTCTGGATCCTGGTAATTCCCTCAGAATTGTGGCTGGAGGCAGATGGCTGCTCCACAACACCTATCCATGTCCTGGGCTTTGACAAATTAGATGAGCCTTTCAAATTAATCCTCTTTGAAGTTAGCTCAGCTTGACACTGCTGCCTCCTTAGAAAGACAGTCATTATTCCGGACACTGTTAATGTATCTTTTTTTCTGATGTCTAAATGTCAGGGCTCCGGCCTGACATCTGTCCAGGCTTATTACCTGCAAGTTCAAGGCGGGGGGGGGAGGCATTGGATTTAGGCTCTTTGTTTTATGATACACCCACAAGCCATGTCTTGATGATCCCCAAGGACCTTCCAGGTCCAACAACTTTATGAGTCTCTGATCTCAGAGAGAGAAACAAAAGAAAACAAACAAAAAAACCCCTCAACTTATATACCTTCCTATGAGATGTTGACACTCTATGGCATATTTAGAAAGTTGGGTTAAATACAAAAGGATGTCACTAATGACGCGATCAGTTGCCAGCCATTAGCGCAACATAGAAAACTGAGGGGTTGGCTAGGAAAGGGTTGTTGTTCTTAATCAAAGGTACCACTCACCTGATTGACATTCACTCTGCATTTTCTCTAATTCATCCCAGATGTGTTTTTCCAGTTGGCTCATCTTTTTACGCAGTTTATTTTCTATGTGCTTAACTTTGCTTAGTGCTGCATCCTGTGTGTGTGTGTTAATGAAATTCTCTAATTTGCTTGAAAGCTGCAGTAATTTTTCTCCCATTTTATTTTCAGAGTTTTCCTAGAAAAGATAACACATGATAAAGCTGCAAACAAGAAAATCTTCGTGGCTTTGTAGTTCAGCTTAGAGAATGTTTTTAACAATATCACTTTTCCATGTTAAACATGAACATTCGAACAAAGTTCCCTTGTATCTAAAACTACGTTCCCAAGTGTGAGAGTTCATCCCTTTGGCCTGGATCCTTTGTAGTTTCTGCAATTCCCTACATTATGGAGGAAAAGGAGAGAAAGAGCTGTGGCCTTGCTGAGACGCCTGGAGGATTTGGGATTTCAGTCTAGTGTTAAAGGAAGGCATTGTAGATTCTGCTTGACACGCTCCTGGGACCTGCTCCTAAATGTTAGAGGCCTTATTCTTGAGCATCACTTCTCCCGCAGACAGCATTCAGCTAGATCAGTGATTCTCCACGCTGTCCATTAGAATCACCTGGACCACACCTACCCCCACATTCTGGTTCACTTGGTCTCTGATGGAGCCCCCAGCGGATCCAGGTGAGGAGCGCTCCAGGTGATGCTCATTAGCTTCTCTGCTCCTCCCTCTGCCCGGAGGGAATGTGGGAGCAGGAACGGGCTGGACTGGCTGGCTTGGCCCCTTTGGTTCTGAGGGAGAACAGAGCTTCTGCCCGCAGGTGATCCTGTGGCCACCCAGTGCCGTAGGACTGGTGGAGGCATCTGCCTGACTCAGGTAGGACAACTGCGGGCCCACCGGGCTGCAGGAGTGGCCGCGCATGGCTAAAGCCCTTCTACCCCAGTTCCAGAAACCCGATTTGAATGGCTTGCCAGGCTGGCAGCCACTGAGGACCCTGGTGGCCTGCGCTGCTCTCCTGAGGGCGCAGCCGCGTGGACACCCCGCTGGCGGGAGCAGGGAGCTCTGTGGTGGTGTCCCCCAGACTGCAGCCTCCTCCCCCCACAGCCGGGGGTGGGTGGGGGTGGTCTGCACAAGGTCTGAGCTGGAAAAGGATTTCGGAAAACCTTCCATCGGCTCAGGCTCCCGGGAGAGGCGAAACGGCTGGTCTCAGGTACAAGGTCTCAGGCTTTGTTGTGTCTAAGCATCGCCAGGGCGCTGGCGGGGAGCCTGGCAAGGCCTGTCTGACGCCCGGGCTCTGGGTTGGGACCCGGAATCTGGGTTTTTAAACCGTCTTTTGGTCCCTTGACTAGCGGTAGAGCACTTTCTGAGCAGACCTGGGGAACAGCAAACAGGAGCGGAAGACAGGCGGCTGGATTCCTATTCTGGGCCCACAGAGCAGCACTGACACTCAGGCGAAGCGCCTAGGCCTGGGGACACCCTGGCGGTGAGTGCTGACCAGGCGGCCGGCAGCGCCCTGGGCAGAAGGGTCCTTACCTGCTTCTCCTGCAGGAGCTTCAGACACGAGTTCATGTGGCCCAGCTGGTCCTTGTCATATTTGATGAGCTGGCTTTCTGTCCTTTTTTGATTTTTCTCAACTTCCTCGTACAGATTATTTGCAAGTGAGTTCAGTCTAAGGGAAGAATTGCGTTATATTTGAGTAAGTACACTTTAGTGTCGAAGAAAATCTGTAGGTTGTTTTCTTGTGTGTGTGTTTTCAGATGATGAGGGTCAATGTGTGTAGCAAGTACTTAGGGGTGATTTGCGGCCCAGGGAGCACACTGTGGATCCTGGCTGAGCGCGTGTTCAGCCCGGCTGCTGCCAATACCCTCCATGTGCCCTAAAACACAGGAGACAGAAACCCGTGCCACCAGGCAGGTTCCTCCCGGAGCCCTGGGCCATGCGTGTGTCTAGAAGCAATACTTGTCTGAGGCACCTGGGCTGGGAGTAGGGCTTGCCAGCTTCTGTAAAGGGTCACAGTAAATAGCTTAGGCTTTTGGGTCGGTCTCTTTTGCAACCACTGAGCTCTTGCTGCTGCCATTGCAGCCAGAAAGCAGCCACGGATGACACAGATCAGCATGGCTTATTTATAAACAAGAAACGAACAAAGGAGCATGCTTGTAGTCCATCTAACTTTACATATGCTGAAACAGAAATTCTCTTCACATGTCATTAAATTTAATTTTTTATTTAAAATTTATTAGAAAGTGTGGGAAACAGTCTTAGCTGTGGGCACATTGGCTAAGGGAACCGCTGCTCTACCCAGGCCACCAGGAGGCTGGGAGAGGAGCTGGGCCAGACAGGACTGCATTGTTTAAATGAGCAGAGAAAAGGCGGAGGTGGGGTAGGGAGGGGGAAGGGAGAAGGAGCAGAGCCCCAAGAACTTGGGGGAAGCAGAGTGTTCCTTGGTTGTCTTTCTGTCTCGGGTGAAATCATCAGTAAAGTGCCCATTGCCACCCATGGGTCTCTGTGAGTGGATTCTTTTGGAGCAGGGGACGGGGAGGGCTTGAAGAGGTGCTGAGTTACTCTTGGGGGGCACACATAGAAGAAATAGGCAAAGGTGCAAGAAGGGACTACTGGCATCCGGGTGATATGCCATAGGGATATTAAATAACAGAGAACGGAGGATTTTAAAAAAATGGAAGTGGTAAAAGGGTTGGAATCATATATCATCAATTTGAAAAGTCACTGTAGAGTGGCTGAGGGTGTGAGCCGAAAGGGGAGCCACAACTGGAATGACTAGGAAATACAGGACTGAGAAGAGGTGGGATGAGGGATGAGGACTGGCGAGTGGTTCCTGTATGTGTTTTCTGCATGTGACTTGCTCTTGGTGTGATGTCAGTTTCAAATTCCCTTTTAGACTAGGCAAAATATCAGATGGGTAGGAATAATGCATGTTGATATTGGAAATATTCATATTACTGTGGCTTGAAATAATAGTTGTTTTAAGAAAAAATTTACACAGATAATTTAGTGTGTGATATTTATCATTGAAAATTGCTTAAAACATGCTGGACATATACTGCATGTATATGCCTCTCTAGCTCTCCTGAAAAAGACACCTTAGAACCTAAGTTCCATGAGGGCAAGAATTTTACTTTGTTCATGGCTGTGAACAATGGCTAGACTATAGAAAGTGCTCATAAAGAATTGCTAAATAAGTGAACAAATGAGTAATTTTTTCCTCATTCAATACCTTTTTTTAGGGCTGTTCACAAATAAATCATAGACTTGCCAAGCTATTTAAAGATCTAATCTTTGATTTTCATCTTTCCTTCCCTGTTTCTGTTGGAAATATTAATAGTGATGGTTAAGGAGGGGTTGTTAAATCCTCAGATAACCCAGAGGTAGCTTCACAATTGAGAATTCAGCCATCACTGCTCACCTTTAGTGTGAAAATAAAATGAAAGCATTTACTCTCATCACAGATACAATATTAAAATCCCTCTGAAAACCAGTGTGCCCAAGTAATATCTCTGGAAGGGCATGTAATTGAAATTCTGAAATTTAAATAAAGCCATAAAGAATGAATCATTACTTATGATCCTTTCATTACAAAGTTTTGCCTGCGATTGGAGACTCATTTTCCTGGTAACAATCAGAAGTCAGACTCTGTCAGTAGTTTATGAAAGCATTATATAAATAGCGTTCTCCTTGAAAGACAAAAAGGATAAAGTAAAAGTTATGTAACTCTTGTTCTTTCCTTAGACTTTTCCCTAACATAACGGACATGATTTACCATGTGGAGATGACTATTCTGTAATTGTAGAACTTACAGTTAAAGTCAACAAGATGAATTATCTTGGTTTTCACATTTTAGTTCCCAAAGCCTCTATTGCAGTGGTTAAGGGGATATTTCTACTAGATGTAGACATATATAGATAGATAGGTGGATAGATGTATGTATGTATAGATAGATATTTAGATAGATAGACAGACAGACAGCTTTTTCTTTATTTGTTCTCAAAACACAAAAGTCCGATTTTTAAATTATGGTCAGAAACCTCACTAGGATAATGTTGGCTGGGTGTTTTTTTTTTCCCCTTAATTTTTATACAGGTTAAAATACACACCAAAGGCAATTATAAGGGGGAAGTTACAAAAGAGTAAAAGAAAATGTAATGGGATCCATAGGCACTGCAGAGCCAAGGGCAGAGCTGTGTGGAGAGTGAATGAATGATGAGGGCAGAGTGTGAGGCTTGGAGCAAACATCCTACTGACCACTCCAGTATGGTTGGCATACACAAATGAGGACATGTCAGAAGCAAGGAATTAATTTCCAGAAACAATTTTTCTGCTAAGTGTATACTTATGCACCTTAAAGTAATTTCTTATTAATATTCTGTGATTTCTGATTAGTGACATTAATTGAAAAGTAAGTCCAACTCCGCTCTGATAGCAAACTTGTTTCCTGGTAATTATTCCAAATTGTACTTGAGCTTAAGTCCCAGTATGTTCACAACGTCATACCTTTCTGGTTTCAAGCAGATGTGATCTTTTATTTCCCTAAATTTTCATACAGGATTAGTTTACTAATAAGGGGAATCATGAGATGGAAGCATCAAAGTTTAACAAAATTAACCTGAAATTTGTCATCAGATGCTGTTCTAGCTGCATGGCTGGGTAAATTTTTTTTTTAAAATATATTTTATTGATTTTTTACAGAGAGGAAGAGAGAGAGATAGAGAGTTAGAAACATCGATGAGAGAGAAACATCGATCAGCTGCCTCCTGCACATCTCCCACTGGGGATGTGCCCGCAACCCAGGTACATGCCCTTGACCGGAATCGAACCTGGGACCCTTCAGTCCGCCGGCCGACGCTCTATCCACTGAGCCAAACCGGTTTTGGCTTAATCTCTTTAATTATAAGTTTCCTCATCTTTGAAATGGGGTGGGACTCACTCTACAGACTTGGGTGAACATTTCTGCCTGCTGATATATTTCATTTAACATTATCTTAACTTTTGTTTTACCTGTATTTAGCTTGTTACTATGCATTTTCTCCCCAGTTGTATGTGGCTATGATTATGTCTTTTGGATATTCCAAAACACATATTATAGGTGCTCAAAACGATTCATTCATTCATTCATTGGCTTCTATTTGTGCTGAGGATACAAAGATGAATGAGACAAGTCCTTGCCTTGTAGTTTGTTAGCATTTTCAAAATTGTACAATAAAATTCAAGTCTATGCATTTGTTTCATTGACCAAAGACTGTTTCTTTTTTTATTTTAATTATCTTTATTGTTGAAAGTATTACAGATGCCCCCCTTTCCCCCCATTGACCCTTTCTAGCCCTCGCCTGCATCCCTGCCCCAGGCCTTCACCACACTGTTATCTGTGTCCATGGGTTATGCATATATTAGTATGCATACAAGTTCTTTGGTTGCTCTTCCCAATCCATCAGCCCACCCCTGCCTTCCCTCTGAGATTCGACAGTCAAATACTATTTATTTTCTTATAAATCACTATCACCTAGACAGCATCAGCAGTAGGAGCCATGTAGACGAGTGACTGGTAGGTGCCGCCTCTGCCAAACCTGCGCTAAGAGACAGCTGTGTTTCATGAGGGCCCCGACTTGCTCTATAAGCACTAAGCTGTTGGCTTAGGTCATTACTTAGCTGACCATCTAAGACCCTTCTGGAAGAAAAGAGGCTCAATGCAGGGTTTGAATTACAGAGCCTGTGTGTCACCTTTGTTAGGTCTAGTGATCAGTGCCAAAGTCCCAGGAATTCAGTAGCAAACCCTTAGACAATACTGTGACCTAAATTCAATATAAAATATATTTAGTTGACCATTAAACTTGAATTTGTTATTAAATTTTCTAAATGGGAAAATTAAACTTACCCTTCAGTGTTATTAAAATCTTTTAATCTCTTTGATCAGGAACACGTTAAAAAAAGAAAAACAAATTTTATGCACCATCTACTTTGATTTGACAAGTGCTCTGATGGAAAACAATAAACAAGAGGCCTATCTCTGTCTTACATCCTCGTTGAGGAAAATGCATTTGCAATGTATGCCTTGGTTAAAGGTGGATGTCCCTGATGTGAAGGAACCCTATAAGTTGATTTAAAAATGATAATCACAATACGAAATTTGACAAATGATAAGAATGGGTCATTCACAAAGAAGATTCAGATGGTGAAGAGAATGCAAATGAAACAGAAGATGCTATTTTCCATTCTTAATTGGCAAATATTAATTTTTAAAAAAATATATTTTATTGATTTTTCACAGAGAGGAAGGGAGAGAGATAGAGTTAGAAACATCGATGAGAGAGAAACATCGATCAGCTGCCTCTTGCACATCCCCCACCGGGGATGTGCCCGCAACCCAGGTACATGCCCTTGACCGGAATCGAACCCGGGACCTCCCAGTCCACAGGCTGATGCTCTATCCACTGAGCCAAACCGGTTTTGGCTAATTGGCAAATATTAAAAAGAGAGAAATTCCAGTGTTGGTAAGAATATTGAGAATGATCTGCTCATACTCTGCTGGTGGGAGTATAAATTGGTACATTTTTATAAAAATTGATAAATAATATCTTTGATCTAGGAATCTTGCCTGTAGAAACAAAAGCACCTATATCTAAGGTTATTTTCGGATATATATATATATATATATTATAT